GTGGTCTGTGGTAGTTACATAATCTCTTGTCAACTTGCAAACGGGTACAGTCATGCCTGTCAACCAGATCACAGATTGATGACCTCATTTTTAAGTGTGAAGGCCAGACACCCTCTCTCTGCTTGTCAACACATTCCTGTTGACAAGCCACATGGAGATACACTGGTGGAGCCAGAGCCCTGAAGCTGGAGGAGCCATGTGGAGACCCATGCCAGTTCTGAGATCCTTCCACCACTACTGGATGTACAAGATTTTCCACCCAATGGCCTGTGATCTTCCTGCACTCAGCATTATTGCATGGCTGCATGAGTCTAAAGAGGAATTTATGGACTAGTATTGGACATATGGGCTAATATAGGACTTATGGACTTGATCTGGACTGGGCTGGGATGTTTTCAATATGCAATTGCTCTTTTATATAAAGTACTTTCTCATACACATATAAATGTCCATGAATTTGTTTCTCTAGTCTACCTGGACTAACACAGTTTTTTTTTAATATTTCAAAATAATTTTTATTTTATTTATTCAAATAAATAAAATCCCAGAAAATACACCATTGTTTTCTAATTTGTTTTAACATGAAAAGTCCCTTTTAAAACCAAATAAATTTATTCAGATTAAACTTATCTCTAATATTCATTATTCTCTTATGTACATATCGTTTGAAACCCAGATTTCTAATTCAATAATTGCTGAAAGATCTGTGTCTATTAGAGAAAAAAATATATAATCATTAATGTGTTTTTCAGACATATCCTCGTTATTTTTTCATCTAGTGCTTATGACTGATTTTTTTATTCAGATTTATGGTTATTGTCTAACATTTTGTTATATTCCACTGTGTGTGTCTGTTTATCCACCTGTCATTGATGACCATTTAGGTTGTTTGCATCTTTTTGTTATAGTGAATAGTCCTGCGTTGAACGTAGCTGTGCATACATCTTTTTGTGTCTATGTATCTATTGTGGTGGCTCTTATTTCTGTAAGGGCATCTGCCAAACAGAGAGATCATTGTGTCCTATGGTATTCCTATTCCCAACTCTTTTTTAAAAAGTGCAAAAGGCCCGTAGTTTGCAATGACCTGGCCACACAATGGAATTGGGATGCAAATGGCAAGATTTTCTCAATGTGTATTTAGTTATGTCCTACGTGTTTGAAATAAGCCATTTTCACTGAAGAATAATGTAAACACCATTGACCGAAATTTTGCAAGATGCTGGAGATACTTCAGAGAATAGGAGAGATATGATGTATTGAAGTTAGAAGCTTGCTGCATTTTGTGTCCATAGCTAGTGACCAAAATAAGTGACCATCGCAAGTGATATATGAGGCACAGACTGTAAGAAAAGGGATGTGTCATTTTAGGATTTCTAATCTAGATTTCTCTGAATGAAATAAACACAAACATTGGAATATTAGAAAGAAATTTAAAGATTAATAATGAAGCACTGAATTATAAGCTCATAGCTCATGTTACTAAAAAAAAAGTCTTACAGCAATGTTATTGGACCCCATGTCTTGTGTGATATGTATTTTCAGAGTCCAGCTTTGGGTCTTTAATACTATTCTCTGTTATGATGTATAATTGCTTCTTGGACTGTAGTTGATTCCATGTCTTGGGACAAAATAATCACAATAGGTATAAAATGCTTTCTAATTCTGGAAACAAGGAAGAGTTAAAAATTGGCTAGGTAGTCAAATAAGGCAAAATAATAGGGACTCTGTTATGTACTGAATCGGGTTCATTCTCCCCCCCCCCCCCAACAATATATGTTGAAATCCTAATTCTTATCAATGTAATTATGGCCCTGGACAAGGTTTTTCTTTTGTGGCATGACTGAGGTCATACCAACACTGAGTTACAAAGTGAGTGGAATAGACGCCCAGGGAGGTGACCCCATTTGAAGACAGACACACACGCCAGATGCATCTCTAAGCCCAGGCACTCGAAGGATTGCTGCGCACCAGTAACTGAACTAGACAAAAGAAGTAACACCCACTGGAGCCCTGTCTTGCATGTGTACTTGTGTATGTCACTTGGCTCCGTGGCAAAACAAATATCTGTTTCTAGGAGCTCGGGAGGTGTAGTGGTGTGTTAGTCTGGTACTTTAGAGAAACAAATTCATAGCAACTCATGTATGAGAGAGTTTTATGTAAAGATTAATTGTGCATCAAGAAAACATCCCAACCCAATGCTGCCCAAGCCCACAAGTCCAACATTAACCCATTAATCCAACACCAATCCACAAAGTCCTCCTCCATCTCACAAAACAGATGCAATGATGCCGACTGCAGGAGGAAAGCCCAGTCAGTGAATGTGTAAGCATCTCAGCGCTGGCAGGGGTCTCCACATGGCTGCTCCAGCACCCAGGGCTGCATCGGGGTAGGTTCATGTGGCTTCTCCTCAGGGATGTCTGGTAGGAAGTCAGTCTTGCAAGCTGAGGCAGGGAACTGCTAAGGCAGCTGCACCCTGGTGCGACCATCACAAAGCAAGAGACCTGAGAACTCGAAAGGTGAGGCTCACCAAGCCATTTATCCCTCCGCCCTTCAATTAACCCCATCGGCCAGGTTGGCAACAATAAACTAACTCAGGTGGGTTCTGAGTTGGGCTGCCATTTGAAGCCACCAGCAGCTCCCTGGGAGAAAGATCTTGCTCCTGTAGTTGTACAGCCCTGGAAACCCACAGTGATGGTTCTCCCATGTGCTATAGCATCATAACAGCAGTTAGTGAGTGATGTAGTGAGTGAAGGCTACCCACTTGTTTTTCCGTATGTCCGCACTAGGTAACAAAGTCAGGCTCAATATGCTGAACCACCTTAAGCAACCAAAATATACCAGGAAGATACAGAAAACGGATTTTTTTTTCTAAGACACTTGGGACCTCTGAGTAGTACAGTTTGTGGTTGGCTGCTAAACTAAAAGGCTGGTGGGTGGATAGAACTCACTCAGGAGTACTGTGGAAGAAAGTCCTGACAATTTGCTTCTATTAAGAAAACCCTCTGGAGTAGCCCTACTCCATCACCCAGGGGGCGCTTTGAGTCTGAGATGTCTTTGTAGCAACAGATATCAGGCAGCCACCCTCAGAGATGGGAGGAAATGAAATGAGTCTGAAGTGGTCCCACCTTACCATCTTGAAGAGACTGTCCAAGCCATGGCACAGGGAGAGGGAACCCCACTAGAGTGTGGAGGACTCCCTGGGTTAGGGAGAGGGAGTTAGGAGGCTAGAATTTGCATGACACTAGACCTAAGCAGTTAAAGATGTATACCTCCACCCTAAAGAAAGTACTAAAGTAGGACAGATGAACCACCCAGGACCAGGGGTGACAGTGGCGATACCAGGAGGGAAGGGGGGTGTAGAAAGGGGGAATTGATCACAGAGTGCTACATATAACCTCCTCTCTGGGGGATGGGAAACAGAGGGGTAGGTGAAGGGAGACGCTGGGCAGTGTAATATAAGATATAATAATAATTTATAAATTATCAAGGGTGCATGGGGGAGGGAGGCAGAGGAAGGGAGGGGGAAGGGGGGAAAAAAGGAAAATGAGCTGATTCCGGGAACCCAAGAGGCAAGCGAATTTTGGGAATGATGAGGGCAACAAATGTATAGATGTGCTCTACACAATTGATCTATGTATACACAATTGATCTATGTATTGTGATGAATTTTATGAGCCCCAATAAATTGGTTTTAAAAAAAAAAAGAAATTACTAAAGTAAGAAAACAAGGAGATGTAGCTACCAAAAACAGAGATCAAATGGAGTAATAAAAGATAGGCAATTCATCCAAAAGAAGGCAAAAAAGAAAAAGTGGAACAAAGAACAGAAGAGATAGGTAGAAAGCACATAAAAAGACGACAGATTTACACTTTCTTGTATCAATGATCATATGAAAAGTACATGGTGTAAACACTTCAAGAAAAGAAAGTTATCAGATTGGGTACAATAGCAAGCCCTAACTCCATACTACCTAGTTATGTAATTAGTTAAAAATGAAAGGCAGGAAAAGATATGCTGTGCCTGCACATTAGTTCAAAAAAGTTAAAATGTCTATTATTTTAATATTAGACATAATAGATGTCAGAGCAAACTATATTCCCAAGGATGAAGAAAGCAATCTCATCGTGATAGAGAAGTTAATTTCTCAAGAGTACGTCATACTACTGAATGTTTACACTCCTAACAACAGAGCTTCAAAGTATGTAAAGTGAAAACGGAACGAACTAAATGGTGAGATATTGAAATCCACAATCCATAACAGAGATTTCAATACTTCTCTTAATAATCGGCAACACAACTAGAGAAAAAATCGGCAAGCATATAAAGGCATGAACAACATAAAGTAAGTTTACATTAATCAGAAGCTCCATCCAACATTCTTTTCCAGTGCACGCGAAAACTCTACCAAGGGCCATCCAACAAGTCTCAATGGGGTTTTTTAGAAGATTCAGTTCATGAAAGTGTATTATTAGACACCACAAAATCAAGTTCGTAATCAATAACTGAAAGCTCTCAGATCTTCAGAAACTAAATATCATCTATCTAAAGAACACATAGGAACACTGGTGGCACCGTGTTTATGCATCGGGCTACTCACCACAAGGTCAGCCATTCAAGACCACCAGCTGCTGAGTGGGAGAAAGACAGGGCTTTTTACTTCTGTAAAAAGCTACAGCCTCAACAACCCGCAGGGGCAGTTCCACCCTGTCTTGTAGGCTCACAATGAGTCAGAGTTGACTCCATGGTCCCGAGTGAGTGAAATAACGCATGGATTAAAGACAAAATCAAAAGGGAGATTAAAAGGGCACTTGTGCGGAATGAAAAAGAACCTGCCAGAATATGCCTGGGGTTCCACTACGCCAGTCGTTAAGAGGAAATTCATGATGCCTTCCAGCATCTCATCCACGTGACCCAGCACAGCTTTTGTTTGCTTGGTGCCTAGTGAGTATTTGAGAGAAGTCTCCCTCTCAGCTCACCCCTGTGGGTTCCCTTTCTCCTAGGTCAGGAAAGGAGAGTCCGAGATGGACCCCAGGGCAAAACTGAGCCCCACAGAAGGTGAACCGGCGCCCTCTCAAGACGTGCAGTTGGATGAGCAGCTCATTCGCAGGAAAGGTAAAGCCAACCTTGGTTGCTTGAGTTTAGGACTTTCAGGTGGATTTGTTATGTGCAATGTTCTAATACAAATAAATGAACTTCTGTCTTCTACGTTGTTGAGTTATTTTTAACAATAAAGTAACATTCATGGACATCTTGCAAATAGATAAAGGAAATGAAGACCATGATTCTTTTATTTTTTTAAAAAAAGTCATGTATTTCTTGCTGTGTGACTCTAATCTTTGTCCATATATACTTAGCTAGATAGCCATTGCTACCAAGTTGATTCCGACTCAGAGCAACCCTATACCCATCGGATTTCTGAGGCTGTAGATTTTTTGTGGGAGCAGGATAGACTTCTCCTTTTCCTGAGAAATAGCTGGTGGGTTTGCACCTCCAACTTTACAGTGGATAGCTCAACACTTACTTCTGAGTGTGACCAAAGTGCGCCATCGACACATAGTCCTGATAATGTCCCTCAAATGGTCTACGTGTAGTATCGTGTGTATATTCTGTTTGTTATTGCATGAAATATCGTAACCATAATTATTGGTCAATCAATCTAAGAAAAGCTAATTACAGAAACGATAAAAATCAACATTTCCATCATTCACTAGCTTATCCAACTACTATAACTTTACTGATTCTCTTTCATGTTCCTTTATGTATTCTCTATAGTTCTATATTCTATATTATGGTTTCATCTATCTGTATTTTTAACCAGGTCACACATGCTTTTCCACTCTTCTTAAAGGATATGTATTATCATTATAGCATATCTAATACCTGAAAATTCCCTTTGTGCTTGGCTACTTTTGTCACTTATCATAAATAAGATAAATGACCCTCCTTTAACATGATACTTGCCTGTATTGGGAATTATTTCCTTAGGGTTTATTTGCCAAAGGTTAAATTTCGGAGGCAAAGGATATAAATATTTCATTTCCATAAGCTGTTATAGGCATTGTCATTTTTAATCTAAACAAAAATGGAGCCACAGGGAGCTTTTGAGCAGACGAGGGGTGAGCTGATTTGATACCATGATAACACTCCCGTTGTATGGAGAATAGATCCCAAGCAGGAAGCTGAAGTGAAGGCTACGGCAATTTTACCTTTCCTGCTGTTTTCTTCACGATATTTATCACCATCCGATCCATGATGTCATTTGCTCTTTTGTTTTTTCATATCATGGGCTCCCTCTGGAATGTGAACTCCAAGGCTAGTTATCGGCTTCATTTCCTGCTATCGGATACGTCCCCTTTCTTGCTATTGGGAGAAAGTGAAGGCAGGGAAAGTCCCAAAGAGGTGCCCTGGCTGAAGTCCCAAAAGAAATTTGAGACGAAGTAAATATGGTTTCCTGCCTCACATTTCTTATTTGCTCGTCAAATTTGATTGGTAGCTGCATTTGGCCAGGCTGTCTTTGGTTCAGCTGAGAGTCGACCTACAGAGGTTTTGTATGGTTTGATTTATTCTGCAGAATGAACACATCACCCCAGACTTCCCTTGAGTTTTCGTGTCTAAACAATTTGATTCTGTCATTTCGGTCACAAAGGTTTATTTCCCCACGTGTTACACACTGTGTGTACACAACGCAGCCAGGATCTGGTTAAAGGAGACAACGATGTTAAAGTCACCTTCCCTATAAGTACGCACACAGTTTATTTGAATGCTATGTTTGTTTCTCTTTCCACTGTTCTATATAGTGTCGTTTTTTATAGTTGGGGGGTTTGAATTCCACTAAACACACAAATATTTCTAGTAGTTTGATTCAAAACTGAAATGAAAGCTTGTTCTCAATGTTTGAAGACACATGAGTGGAATAATGCTTTACACCAATGAGCAGCAACACCAAAGTTTAAATTAATGGTACCCAATCATTGAAACTCTTTGTGTTAGTTTGGGTACTTTAGAGAAACAAATCCATAGAAACTCATGTATAAGCCAGAGTTTTATACAGAGGGTAAATGCACATCAAGAAAACATCCCAACCCAGTGCTGCCCAAGCCCACAAGTCCAACATTAACCCATATGTCTAACACCAGTCCGCAAAGTCCTCCTCCATCTCACCAAACACACACTATGACACCGACTGCAGGAGGAAAGCAAAATCAGTGAGTGTGCAAGCATCTCAGCGTGGGCAGGGGTCTCCACACAGCTGCTCTAGCACCCAGGGCTGGAGGTAGGTGCAAGGCATAGGGGTAGGTCCATGGCATCGGGGTAGGGCCATGTGGCTTCCCCTCAGCGATGTCTTGCAGGAAGTGAGCCTTACCAGCTGAAGCAGGGAACTGGTTGAGGCAGCTGCACCCTGGTCCGACCATGAGAAAGCAAGAGACCCGAGAACTCGAAAGGCGAGGCTCACCAAGCCATTTATCTCTCTGCCCTTCAATGAACCCCACATGCATTTATCGGCCAGATTGGCACAATAAACGAACTACCTCACCCTTATAAAACAATATCAAAATGTGAAGCGATTCTTTCCTGGCACCTCTTCCAGCTACGTCTAGACCCTTCTGCAGGGGCGTTTTCCATCCCTCCAGCCCTTCTCTGAGCAAGTCGGTGCTCTCCTATTCACATGAAACCCAAATGGCAGTCTGGACATCCTTGAAGGACACAAATGTGTTCCTTTAAACTGCGCTTTGAGTTTGGGAAGCAAAAGGAAGCATGAAGGAGCAAGATCAGGGCTGTCGGGTGGATGGAGGAAGGTTTCCCAATCAAATCCTCAGAGGAAGTCCTTGCTACCCTCAAAGAATGAGCAGGGCCATTGTCGTGATCGGGCAAGGGGAAAAACAATCCTCAGTACAATTTTCCTGTCTTTCTTCTTACCAACAGCTTTCCATTTCTTTAGACTTCTTTCTAAGCCCCTTTGATTGTCCTGTGTCCTTGGAGAAAATCTGTCCCTCCTCAGGAATCCTCCCAAACCGTCACTATAACCTTCTGAGCTGACCGATCTCTCTGGCTTAAGTTTAGCAGGCCTCTTACGAGTCCTGATGGTGTAGCATGCTACATGTGTGACTGCTAACTACAAGGTCAGCAATTCAAACCCACTAGCTGCTCAATAGGAGAAAGACGTGATCTTGTAAGGATTGACAGCCTCAGAACCCACAGGAGCAGGTAGACTCTGCCCTATAGGGCCACTGTGCGTTGGAATGGACTTAATAGTAGTGTGTTAGTTAGTTAGTTAGTTAGTTAGTTAGTTAGTTAGTTAGTTAGTTAGTTAGTTAGTAGATCCCCTCAGAAGCTATCGCTCTGATTTGACTTTTGTTTTAAAGTGCTTTAACGAGACTCGGGCAAGCATATTGCTGAAAGAGCTTCTCCACAGCCATCCACTGAGCACAGAGACATGTTGAAAGATGTTTTGTTTGGAATAAATCTATGTATGTTGAACCTGGACCCTTAGTAGGAGTACTTTTTTGCTTACCCCAATATGATATTAAATATAAGCCAGAACATATGTATGTTTGCAATATATCGCTCTATTAAATAGGTACATATGGATATCCCCAATCCCCTGTATTCTGGTCAATTTTCCCTCACAGAGGGAGCCTTTGGGAGAGAATAGAACTGTCCCATAGGACTTCTATGGTTATGTTTAAAGTAGAAGACCACCATGTTGTTTTCTCATGAAACAGTTGGTGAGTTTGAACTCCTGACCTTTTGAGTAACAGCTGATATGTACACACATAAGCAGATGCATACACATACACATATAGTCATATGTGTACACATGGAACTACACACGAAACACACATTTAAACTATGAAAGCATACAGGTGGTGCCAGATAAAACATTCAGCTAGAAAGCAAAAGGTTGGCAATTAGAAGCCGTCCAGCAGCTCCGTGGGAGAAAGAGCTGTGATGTGGACCCATAGAGATTATCGCCTAGGGAACCTGATGGGGCTGTTCTACTCTGTTCAGTAGCGTGATTATGAGTCACGACAGCTAACACAGTAGCAGCAAAGAGCACATACCACATAGATGCATATGTATTTCTTTTTAATGTACTTTGTATATGTTTGTGTGCACACCTCCGGACACAGACATTTCCTGATTTAGGAGCAATTTGATCATCTCTAGGACACAGTGGCCTGGGACGAAGACTGGGAGAGGCACAATTATAGGAAGGACTGAACGTCCCCTAGCCAAGTCCAAGTTGATGGAGCTGGGATACAAAGGGCTTTATGGATCAGTCAGTGATTTCCTCATTTTCTCTTTCTTTCAAAAGTCAGTAGAAGTGCTATTTAAGTCACCAAGTGATGCTCTGCAGGATCTTTCCATAGCAGCATTCTTGTGCAAAAAAAACAACAAGTGCCGCGTTCAGCAGGAAACACCATTGTAACTAACACTGTATCATTTCCAGTTCAAAGTCTGTGTTCTGTTCGCTACGGAATTGCCTTCAGTGTGCACATTTGCAACTTCATATTGATGGCACAAAACGTTATCATGAACATCACGATGGTAGCCATGGTCAACAGCACGGACCATCAAGCTCAGGTCAACGTCTCCACCGAGGGGCTGCCTGCGCACGCACTTGGTGGACCCAATCAAGCTCCGAAGAGTCTTCCTGCAGAGGTAAGCCGTGCAAAATTCAAATAGGCATTGCACCCACATCTCCTGTTAAGTTTGTTTGGACATTTAGTTTCCCAATGTTTAGATGTTAAAACTTTTGATTGAGAAAATACTGGTTTCAAAGCAAGTGCCAGGCCTAAATGGGTTTTTGAAATGAAGCAAGAACCTTGCGGGGAGTGGCTTACTATGGCCTTTTCCGTTTCTTTCAGGTCCCTGTGTATGACTGGGACCCTCAAACCCAGGGCATTATCTTTGCTTCTGTCAACTATGGTACCTTATTGACTCTGACTGCCAGTGGTTACTTGGCTGGAAAAGTGGGAACAAAGAAAGTGGTTGCCGTTGCTTTGTTTGGATCTTCACTTTTCACTCTGTGTACCCCTCTGGCAGCTGACCTTGGCCTTGTTTATCTCATTGTGATTCGAATAGCCCAGGGCGTATGCCAGGTAACCCAACCTTTTGCAATTCTGAACTGGAAATGTCTTCATGGACTGACGGATCACAAAGGATAACCTTTTTTATTTTTTCATCTTAGGGAGCAGGATTGGGGGGTCAGTTTGCACTGTGGGAAAAATGGAGTCCCCCACATGAACGAAGCCGACTGTGCAGCATAGCTTTATCAGGTAACGACATAGACACAAAGCGGATGGACTGAATGCCATTATCTTCCCACGGGGTTCATTGACAATTTTGCTGTTGCGTGGGCTGTGTTCTGCTATCGAATGATGAGAATGTCAATTAAGGAGGCTGGTCCTTTGTCTGCGACTTGACTTTAGTTCAACTCATGCTGTGCATGCATGAACTAGAGCCCTAGTAGCAATACTTTATTATTTACCTGCATGTAATATTATATGCTATGTTATATATAAACATCATGGAAGTTATGTATAAATCAGTACTGATATTTCGTTCTCCTAGGTTGTTTTTGACTTTCCATTTGCTTATGAACATTGTTTTGCCTTTCTGGAAGGAGAGCATTAAAAGCTGATTATGCAGAGGTAGTCGGGTGGAAATGGAAAACCTGGTCATTGGATTTCCTTTTTGAAACATTTTAAAGGAATTTCAGTCTCTCAATGT